ATATATATATAATGTATATTATTTATATTATATATCATATTTATATTATATAATATATATAGTGAGATATAGTGATATATATACATATATATATATATATATCACTAGTTATTACCCCAGTCTTTTGAGCAGATTTCTGAAGAACAACAAAGATGTACTGTTTTCTGTTGATGCTATATGTACACAAATAGATAATTTCTTAATTTTTTTTTTTTTTTGGTTTTTGAGACAGGGTTTCTCTGTATAGCCCTGGCTGTCCTGGAACTAACTCTGTAGACCAGGCTGGCCTCGAACTCAGAAATCTACCTGCCTCTGCCTCCCAAGTGCTGGGATTAAAGGCGTGCACCACCACCGCCTGGCTGGCTGATTTCTTAATTCTTAATGATGGCTCCATAAAAATTTCCATCACTTAAAAAAAAAAAGAATTCCTAAAGTTATGCTAGTAATTATTAAGCCTTTTATAATAAGGACTGCTATTAAGTCCTTTCCGATGTCAAAATTGAAATGAGAACTCTATCAGTTTTTAAGTGTCATGAATTAATTACTTTTGAGATAGAAAACAGGCACTTACTGCTTAAAGAACATTCTAAGAGGTTGTAAAACAATTAACCAAAGTTCATAAAAAAGGGAACTAATGATTTATTGTAGGTGGTAGGACAGAAGATAAAAGGTTGGGCTTATCTAGATAAAACTTCTATAATAACTTACTTAAAGTCTTTAACGCTCCATGAACCTGTAGAGCTAATGACAGATAATAAATGTCTAGTCTTGATGGATACATGTGTAAATATTTTCTGTTGTAAATTTCTTATTCAATTTATGATTTAAATTTATGAACTTCTAGTGAACTTTTGTAAAAGAAAAAAAAAAGATGCTTGAAAAAACTATGTGATCTATCCCCCTAGAAAAGGTTCATGGCATGTTGAACAAGGACATTATTACATTTGAGCACGAGGAAAGGGCAAGATGGGACAGAGAATGACAGTACTGTAGGATACTTTAGAAATTAAAAGAGCAATACACAGAATGCAGAGGGAAAGAGGAAAAAAAAGAAGCTTCACAGAGAGCAGAAGGAGCAGGAAGGCATCTCCTTGCCTTTGGGACAGAACAGGTCTATTCTTAATAACAAGTCAGGCTTAGTCTTAATAAAGAGGACAAAGCTTTTTTTTTTTTACAAACTTGGGTTTAATTCATTTAGCAATAAAAGGGTAGCAGCTTTTTCTTTCTCTGTGCAATAAAAGATTGGAGCTCATTTTTCACCAGAATGAGTGAGTTCTTTCTCCACTGGAACTTGGTCTTTTGCTCGATGTGCATGTGTAAGTATGTAACTATGAGATAAGTATGTAGCAGAGCCCAACTTCTTTTCATGGAGGTGTATGAGTATGTATGCATGAATTTGTATATCAATTTGTGTGAGTTTAGGCACATTTGCTTGTGTAAAAGTTTTTCCTTCTGCCATCCTGATACTCTTCTCCTGGTTCAATAAAAGTTTATTGCTTCAAACCCCCCTCTGGGAGGAAGGGCTTCTGGGCAAGAGAAAAAAATAGCAATTAACCCTTTGCTTAATTACCCCACTGTTGGGCTACAGGTGTTAATTTCCAAAGCCATCTGTTTTTAACCCTAAGAATGAGCAAGACAGTCTTAGGTTACTTTAGAAGATATCACCAAGCATTCAGTATACTTAGATAGAAGGCCAGAGACCATGAGTCTTTAAAGCTACCCCTATGTCCAACACTGTATCTCACTTCAACTCATTCCAGGGCAGGCACATTCCTTGCATGGGAGTGGGGGTGGAGCCTGATTGAATGGAGATCCAGGAAAAGTGTACTTTGAGTCTAAAGGATAAACTATATTCTAAAACTATTCTCTTCAAAGAAGTTGGGTTTTGTTCTATCAACTGATTGTTATCCACACATAATATAGAAAGCAGTCTGCTTTGCTCAATGTCTACCAACATATGGATTGTATTATATGTATCTTACTTGGTGTAAATTATGATGCTTGACTACTATACAAAGTAAAACATGAAACTATGTACATTGGGAAATAAAGTCCCATACAGCATCCACAGTCACCCCATAAAGACAGTATCAAATCCCCCAGAAGGATGCCTGTGATGTTCACACTATAAAGCTCACTGCTTCCTCCTCCTTCAAATATGTACACTTCAGGACACAATACTCTTCTTCCTTGGTCAACACAAGGACAGTTGTCAAGAGACTGGGGCTTACCAAATAGCAAAACAAAACAAGTAAACAAATCCATTGAATTTATCCAAACCAACCCATCTAAGATAAAGACCATGCCTCATCCCTCACTTTCCAAAGGCAATTCAGAATAACACTGCTCCTTCCCTCACAACCTACATTCTCAGTGGTACTGGTGTACCACTGCACCAGACTCTGCCTTATTTATTTATTATTTCACATCCCACCACAGATTCCCTACCTCCTTCCCTCCCCACACCACTTCTACTCTTCCTACCACCCCCAATCACCTCCTCCTCCTTTTCTCTTCAGAAAAAAAGAGGCCTCTAATGGAATCAACTAGGTATAACATAACAGTTTAAAACACAATTAATTAACACAAATAAAATTAATCTTGCCTCCTGTATATCCTGTGTTTCCCATTACCAGATCTGACTGAACATTACACAAAGAAACAGGGAATTTTGTCTAAACTATCCTCTCTCAGAAATATCCAAAATCATGCTTGATCAAAGACCTGACATCATCACTCACCCAAGTTAATAAATAATCTTAAATATCAAAACATCTTAAGTGCCACATAACCAGATACACATTCTCCTGTGCATGCTGTACACCCAGAACACTAAAAAGACAATTTATTATCTATGAATGTAACATCTTAGGAATTCCAGTTGGCTTTGCTTATTAAGGAAAAGGTTATCCAGAGAACATAATGCAATGGAACAGCTTGAAAGGACATTCTCCTCCCACTGCTTCCATAAAACAGAGCTTAGAGCTTCACTGTTGATCTTAAATGCACAAGCAAACACTACAGCAAGTGCAGGGTAGTATGACCATGAAAAACCAAGCCACAGGAAGCTGGTAAAAATTGCTAGAGAGATGCCCCATGGTAAGACAGTAACAAAATGTCCTGGGAGAGGATCAGGGACTATAAAGAAGATACTTGGTATATCAGAATTACTGTCAAATGAGAAAAAATTAAATAGAGGACGAGAAAATTTTGATTAAATGGGTAAAGACTACAATGTAAGAAGTGAGGGCAGAAAAAGATAATACATTCTGCACACTCAATAAATTCTCTAGAGAAACAAAGTAGGGAAAGATCAGGGGAAAATAGTATAAAATCTAAGACTTCGTGTTGGAAATATATATATATTGTATACATACACACACACATACACACACACAAAGAAATGGAAATACTATGGGCAAACAGCAGCAAACAGCCACAGCTCTACAAAACAACAAACAACAGATAAAGATGTAGCTTAGACGGCAGAGTGCTTCTCCAGCATCTATAAGCCCTGCTTTTGATCCCCAGCTTCACAATGACCCACCATCATGGTATACACCATC